CGCTCTCTGTCTGCATGCGCTCTCTGTCTGCATGCACTCTCCGTCTGCATGCACTCTCCGTCTGCTTGCGCTCTCTTTCTGCATGCGCTCTCTGTTTGCATGCGCTCTCCGTCTGCATGCGCTCTCCGTCTGCATGCGCTCTCTGTCTGCATGCACTCTCTGTCTGCATGCACTCTCCGTCTGCATGCACTCTCTGTCTGCATGCACTCTCCGTCTGCATGCGCTCTCTGTATGAATGCGCTCTCTGTCTGCATGCGCTCTCTGTCTGCATGCACTCTCCGTCTGCATGCACTCTCTATCTGCATGCACTCTCTGTCTGCATGCGCTCTCCGTCTGCATGCACTCTCTATCTGCATGCGCTCTCTGTCAGCATGCACTCTCCGTCTGCATGCACTCTCTTTCTGCATGCACTCTTTGTCTAAATGCGCTTTCTCTGATGATGCACCGATTAAAAAAAATCGACTACATTTCATTTTTGTAGCTTTGTTCCAAGAAATATCTTAAGTTTGATTTGAATTTTGTTATATCCATGAATATTTCTTCATGCGCTCATTTTAGCAGCATTCAGAATAATTCTGCGAACAATGTGCGTAAAACGCACACAGTTGAGCACAGCATTTCAGAATTTATTATCACGCATCATAACCCTATTAAGCGCATGTGAAATACGTCATTATTATCGTAATATATGGAGAGATTTATCCTTTACCTTGATACCATGAGGTGCACCAGGTACTGTATTTTCGATACGGACACCACGTCCACGGACACGCTGTACGTGCTACCTTCGAAAGCCTTTGCAGCTTGCTAGCTACATTGTAGATTGATCATGGTTGGCCCTGGATTCAAGATTGATCGTGGTTGGCCGTGGATTTAAGATTGATCGTGGCTGCCCTGGATTCAAAATTGATCGTGGCTGCCCTGGATTCAAGATTGATCGTGGCGGCCCTGGATTCAAAATTGATCGTTGCTGCCCTAGATTCAAGATTGATCGTGGCTGCCCTGGATTCAAGATTGATCGTGGCTGCCTTGGATTCAAGATTGATCGTGGCTGCCCTGGATTCAAGATTGATCGTGGCGGCCCTGGATTCAAGATTGATCGTGGCTGCCCTGGATTCAAAATTGATCGTGGCTGCCCTGGATTCAAGATTAATCGTGGCGGCCCTGGATTCAAGATTGATCGTGGCGGCCCTGGATTCAAAATTGATCGTGGCTGCCCTGGATTCAAGATTGATCGTGGCTGCCCTGGATTCAAAATTGATCGTGGCTGCCCTGGATTCAAGATTGATCGTGGCGGCGCTGGATTCAAGATTGATCGTGACTGCCCTGGATTCAAGATTGATCGTGGCTGCCCTGGATTCAAGATTAATCGTGGCTGCCCTGGATTCAAGATAGATCGTGGCGGCCCTGGATTCAAGATTGATCGTGGCTGCCTTGGATTCAAGATTGATCGTGGCGGCCCTGGATTCAAGATTGATCGTGGCTGTCCTGGATTCAAGATTGATCGTGGCTGTCCTGGATTCAAGATTGATCGTGGCTGCCCTGGATTTAAGATTGATCGTGGCTGTCCTGGATTCAAACGTTGAATCGGCTACTCCTCGTCTCAGGGCGTCAGGCCGCTGGATTACGGCAAGTCAAAAAGCATAGAAATTAAAGCGGGTGAAACCGTCGGCCAGGGATGTTATAGCATGGAATGGTGGTGGAGTGGATAAACGGGATGTTCTACAAAATAGGATAGCTACACTGGTACTTGGGGCCTTCTGATGGACTGCTGTGGAGGCCTTAAGAGGAGATATGGGATGGAGTACGTTTAGAGAGAGAAAAGTGAAAGCAGCATTAAGATAACATAACATAACATAATGATCTCGGCGCTGAAGTGTAGGCCTGATGTGGCTAGTCGCCGATTCTTTTCCTTTTCGTGCCATGTTCACAGAAGATCTAAAATCGTGTCATTTGACCGGATATTTTCATGACTGACGATAGTTTGAAGTAGCTACTAGATTTCCACCGGGTTCGATAAGGAGCTAGGCATTTCAAATCTGAACATATATTTTTCCATAGCTTTATCTAGTATGTTCTTGAACGCGTTCATACTTTGAGCGCCAGCGATGTCATCGAGGAGGCTATTCCACATGTCGGTGATTCGAAGCGAGAAGAAATGTTGTAGCGTGGAGAAGTTGCAGCGCAGTTTCTTTAGCTTATAGCCGTGGCCCCTGATGTTGGTTCTTGTTTCAAATTCTAGAAATCCTTCGGGGACCTTGTATAGACCATGAGTATACTTGTATACTTCAATGAGGTCCCCACGCAGACGTCGATAACTGAGGCTTGGAAGCTTCCTAATCTTCAATCTTTCTTCATAGGACTTGCCCTTCAAGCTTGGAATTATTCTTGTTGCACGTCTATGAACATTCTCTATTAAATTTCTGTCCTTTTCAAATCTCGGTGACCACACAACGTTTCCAAACTTCGGGCGCACGACAGCAACAAACAACTGCTTAATCGCTTCTGCATCTAGGAACTCGTATGAGCGTCTGATTAGTCCAAGAAGATTGTTGGATGTGTTAGCTTGCGTTTCAACATGCTTAGAAAATTTCAGCTCCTTGTCGACATAAACTCCGAGATCTTTTTCTACACTAAACTTTTCAATCATTACTCTCTCGTTGTAACCATGTCTTCTCGTACTGTAAATCTTGCTGTTCATTGTTCTTCCCGAGGTAAAGTACTTTACACTTGTCAGCATTAAAGGACTGTTGTGGAGGCTAAGAGGAGATACATATGTGATGGAGTACGTTTAGAGAGAGAAAAAAGTGAAAGCAGCATTGAGATAACATAACATAACATATAGTGATCTCGGCGCATAGTGATCTCGGCGCATAACATAGTGATCTACTTTATAAAGTAACACTGGAAAGAATGGATGATGAACGTTGGGAGCGAAAGATGTAATGCAATAGTACGTAAATTCATGTGTGTTACACTGGACTTGGGTTTGCCCAATTTATAACAGACCAAAGGATGAATGGTTAATGACAGTATACAGGGCATAATGGGATGGGATGTCAAAGAATGGAAGAAAGCAATAGAGAAGAAAGTGAAATTAAGTTGTTTAAGAGTATGGAAGCAAGGAATTGAAAGAACCCTGCTGACAGATCTACTATTATTACAATCTATTCGTCTCCCGTTCTCTCATACATCACACCATCACCCTCACCTCTCTCATCCAATATCACCATCATCGTTTCCAGTCGTTTTCTCTTCTTTGCTTCACACTGCATCATCAGGTAATTCACTGTTTCCTTCTCGCCTCTATCACGTATGAAACAATATCTTCTCTTCTTTCATTCCACCTGAACGTCCGTGCATTCACACTTTGAGCATTTGCTCTCATGCAAAACATCAAATCCCACCCCTCCTGTCATCATATATTCATTAATTCTTGGGCATCTCTTTCATCTTATTCAGGTTGAGGCCATCCTTTATAATAAACTTGTGACGCGTGGCAGCGAGCCGATTTAAAAGCCTGACAACTGGATTTCTGTTTCAGTGTCACCACTCCCCAAATTCAAATGCTCACTACCTTGTAGCCAGAAGGAAAAGTAATGTTCTCAATTATATTACGTGTAATATATGTGGTGCAAATACGACGTCGCACAACGTTTGGTATTTGTATGTCAGGGGCAGACGCGTGAATGCAGTCAGCGAACTGCATTCTTATAATCAGCATGGATCTTATAATCGAGTAACGCCCTCCGCTTTTGATTGCTGCGGTGAAGCTGACAACGATGCTCAGTCGTAGGGAAACCCGTTAAACTTTCAGCACAATGTGCAGGCATCCTAACACTCCACAAATGTTTTAGTTTCTGCAGCAGTGAATAAGGATGATCTTGGGAGGCAGGGAAGTTTGCCCTGCAGTTCTGTGTGACTGCTCGGATTATCAAGCAGAAAATTACTTTTTAGCGTGAGTAGCAATATATGCGGTTCATGTGCAATTGTTTCATCTAGAGTAGAGGAAACGTCTAAATTATGTTGCATCCAAGACAGCAAACATTAAACACATTCACTGCATTCCCTTTGGACGGAAAAGCTAAATCCTGTTTCAAATAGCGTTACTCAAACGATTTTAGAGAAAATAAATTGTGAATCAGCGTTTGTGTCGGCCTGATTTTTTTCAAAGTTTCTGTCCTCTACAAGTATCTAAAAGGGTATTAATTTTTATTTGCTCTTATTCATACCATTAATCCAGCAATATTTTGTCGTACTCCTGGTCGCGTCTTCTGGGACTCGGTGAGTGACAGTCTAGCAGTCATCATGATACGTCATAATAATAACTGTTGATAATATCAATCAAAAAAATTCTATAATTAGTGATCAGAATCCTGTCATCCACAAAAATGGAAGGTTTTGAGTGCAAGGTGGCTAAATGGTACTCATGAAGACTTTGCAATAGTAGCGATGTGATTCTTATTCTCGACCCAAGCCTAGAAGTGGTTATTCTACGGCCATGCTTAACTTTAGAATGCTCATGCGTAGGCTGTGGCCATGGCAACATATACTGTAACTTTATAGGATGATATGCCCTTTATCGGACTTACCTATGAAAATAATTATGTAGTGAAGTGTGAATTTGGGCTGCGCAGAAGAGAAAAAATATAACTCAGTACTCGCAGCAGTGAGTGACAAAGAGCGCATTTTCTCGTCGACGAAAACTTGAGGTCACGGACGGACGGACGGACAGACGGACGGACAGACAGACAGACGGACATGGCGAGCACAATAGTGCATTTTTCCATAAATGAGAAAATGCGCTAAAAACTTAAATGCCCTAGCTTTATTTATTTATTTCTATTTATTCTATTTCGGACCATAGCGACTCAACAGAAGCTCCGATTACAGTAGAGAGCGAGTGACATTGACTCATTTCGAAGGACTTGTGAGGAGGCAGAGTGTACGTCCCGAAGGTCGTATGTGATACCTTCAGTTGGTTCTTCTCGTCAGCTACAAATTCATCGGAGTATAGATCACACACTTTCCATTTTTACTTTATTGAAGTAAAAACAACAATCACTTTGGAGTTTGTACACATAATTAACAGATAGATCAGAGGAGACGTCTGCCGAGGATTGGAGCTAATAGTCAACTCTCATCAACCCTCCCAGTGAAAATTTACAGACGCGTCAGCTTCTGATTTGGATTACCAGAAGCTGGGGAGACTCAAAATTTTGTTTGGACTTGTACATAAAACAACTAATTCCTGGTAAGCTCCGGTCTGCTATAAAGTTACTTCCGCAATCTCGGTATACCCGCTATTTTTTCATACCAACAAATTCCTTATATCGTTCTACCTCACAATAAGAAAAACTCGAATATTTCAGGTAGGTAAATTATAAAGGGTAGGACCATATTGTGAAAGTAATTGTTGAATATACTTCTCTGGCTCTCTCTTTTTATTGCAAATGAACAATATTCACAATATGACTAACAGGTGCTCTTAATTAAGTAACTGATCATGCGAGTATACGAATGATTTTTTTATTCACTTGTTTCATTGCTACACACCTTGATTCATTCATATTGTGATAAAAACGTTTGACTTATTCTAAGAATAAATATTCGTCAGTAATTTGTATATGAGATATTGTAAAAATCAAATTGTAAAATTACTGCAGTTACGGCACATTATTCAAAGAAGCAAATTCTTTGTGCGATGCTCCTTTATTTGCAGGGATCAATAATAATATAAATGTTGCTTATGAATCGTTCTCAGACATACGAATTTGAATGAATCGTTTAACTTGATAATCGTCTGTCTTATGAATCACATTTTTCAATATATTGTATAGTATATATAAAGTTCTTTAACTCATATAACAACGCCTGCACTTGGTTGAAATTAATAAATAATCTCAAACATGGCGCCAGCATGTATATAACACGTAATACTTACATGGTTCAACATGGAGTTGTACCAGAGTATTACAAACGCTCAGATTAGTTAATGGGAATACCACTTAAACTTGAATCTAGCAGTGTTCATTCAAGTGTTTCGTTCGATGATTTGAATTCAACATTTAGAATTTCATAATTTATATCGTATGCGTTCGTGACTGCGTACTGCATAGAGCCTTATATAGGTTCTTCACAAGCATCAATTATAAAGGTAGCGTGACTTGGGTCGCGGGACTTGAATTGTTCAGGAGACTGGCTGTCGTAATCTGCCATCATGATAATGGTTCTCACTTATTTCTTGCAACGTCAAAAATTACATTGATATTTTTTCATAAAAATCAACCTTTAAAACGATGATGAGCGTTTTAACGGTGGATTTTAATGAAAAAATATAACTCAGTACTCACAGCAGTGGGTGACAGAGAGCGCATTTTCTCGTCGACGAAAACTTGAGGTCACGGACGGACGGACAGACAGACAGACGGACATGGCGAGCACAATATTGAATTTTTTCCATAAATGACAAAATGCGCTAAAAACATCAATGAAATTTTGATTGCTCCGTTTATAACAGTTATGGTCATTCTGTCATACCATAAAAACAAAAGTTACATTGCATTGAAGCACAAATCAAACCTAT